TGCGGACCGTTATCTTTCCTGAGCACCCTCTCCTAATCAGGAACGTCTAACGTTCATAATTATCACTATGAAACTTTTATATTACTAATAAGTGTTCTGCTTCCTCCCTTCTCTTCTATACAGTAGCTAGGAAATAGGATGTAGCCGTCTATTACCACCGGCCGTACTGGAGTTTTCTTTCAAACACCCAGCTTTCAGAAATGTTAGACAGAAAGAGGGCCTCGATGAAGAAGAGTATTTGCAAAACGAACAATGTTTCCCCAATGAATCTGCAAGGCCAAACCCACACGTAAATAGTGCCTGGCAGTCCAGTTCTTTTTTTCGCAAAATGTGGTCTAACCTGGCTATAAATGACATTTCGCCCTATACAGGCCACGTTAGCTCAACCATGGTTGATTAATGCAGAGCCCTGGACGATTGGTTTAAATCTAGGGACTGGGCGATAGGCACATGTTATAAGAATGGGCGGCACTGCTAGTAATATCAGGAGTTTTCGTATATAGTCTTTACTGAGAGACCAAGGAGACAATGATGATTCTAGACAACGTAAAACGGAACGTCTCTATTCCCTCAAGGGATCAAACAAGGTTGTTAAATGGCATTGACAAACGAACAGAGCCCGTTTACTTCGGATGCAAACTACTTTTTCTCTTTCGGTGAAAAAAGGCAATCACAGCAAGGGATTTAAAAAATTAAATTACGTACGTCACAACTGATCAGCTTTTCAGCAAACAGATCGGGCTCAGTGATTGGCGAATTGGCATCATATCGCTGAGTTCGCTCCGGTCGACCTTTTTTAAGAAAAAAGAAATAAAGTGTGTGCAGTTCGCCTTACCTTCAGCCGTGCCCTTAGCTAGGGTTTTTCTACATGTTGCCGAATCGTCTTGTATGCACTCAGCCACCTCCTCCTCAGACAGCTCGGCCTCCGGAATGAATTCCACCAGCGGTAGGGTTTCTAGGCAAAACAGAAATGTCCCATTAGGCTCGGGGCCCAACAAAAATGTTACAATTTGGACCAACAACAAAACAATATCACTGGTTTTTTGGAGGTGAGTCGGGAGAACTAAAAATATGCAGCTTTGTGGACTAAAAGGCATTCTGCAAATATCCAGGTCTTGTGGATATCTTATTCACGAAAACGAGAGATGCAGGTTAGATAAGTGCGCTGGGGAAGGGAGCTTGATTCGTCCAATCTGTCGCAAATCGTGACTGGTAGTTTACAGCTTCCACATAGCTAATATTGCTGGTCTAATCTATTAATGGTATTACAATTTGGGTAACCGTAGAAACCGAATGCCAAAAAAACGACAGAAGAGACAGGGATGGATATTTCTAATTTATTAGCCATCGTCAGCTAGCTTTGCCTAACCCATGTCTGGGGCGCCTGAGCATCAAGCCCCCTTCGTTAGTCATCGACCGTTATTAAGTTCAGTGTTCTCGTTGATGAACAATCACCTGACCGCTAACTGAACTCAACTGTCCCGCTCTGCCTTGGTCCTCAAGAGAGGCCCTGTCAGCCGTAACAGCTGGCAATATAGGCAGATAATATTACCGTCAAAGACAAGGGAGACAAGAATGGACATTTATGGCTTATTAGCCATCGTTAGCCAGTCATACCGAGACGCAAGGGGTGCTCCACCTAAGCCTCAAACTCGCGACCTTTTGATCAGAGTTAAACGCCCTAACCACTGAGCCACGGGCTCGTTGCTTGGCCAGTGTAGTGGATATCGACACTCGTTGATAAACGCCCAGTACTTTACCAGTGAACCGCGGGTCCGTTGTCCTGTCGTTTGCGATTGGGAACACGACTAAAGATGGAGACGCAGTCTTGGATTTGGTTACGGTACCTGATCGTCCCGTTGCTTTTTGGGGCTCAGTGTAGAACCCTTGTAGTGATCTAACTCTGAGTGCAACGCTCAACCTC